GGTGTGAGTGCCCAAGCAACGACGGCGACCAACAAACTGGTCGCACACGGACGATGGAGTCGTCCTTGCTGCAATTCGTGCAAGTAGGGCGTAGGTAGTGTATATAAGGAGACATTCTGTGGATTAACATGGAAAAAATGCATTGGTTTACTTCTTGGCCTTCTTCATGCGCGCCTCGGCAAACTTGTTGGCCATGAAGCGAGCCTGCTTGGACTTGGTGTTCAACGTCATCGACATGCCGATTTTGCTGCCCTTGCCTATCGGCTGGTTCTTGCCCTGGATCTTATTGGCCGCAGGCGCCGCGGGCTTGGCTGCCGTCTTTTGCTGCGTCTTGACGGGCTTGGCTATCACGTCGGCCTCCTCTTCCTCCTCCTCCGCTTCCTCTTCGTCTTCCAAAACTTCGGCCGCCACTTTATCCTCGGCGTCGTCCTCACTGGCCTCGTCGTCGGCATCGGCCGCATTCTTGTTGGCCTTCTCGAGCTGGCGCTTGGAGGGTTCATTGGACTCGTTGTCCGAGTCAGATTCGTCCTTGTTGCTGTCGTCCTCGGAGCTGTCGTCGGGCTTGGCGTTGGCGTACTTCTTGAACTTGGCCACGAAAAAGGCGTCCATGTTGGGCACGTGCGGGTCGAAGCGGCGCGTGAGCGTCATGCTCTGAAGCGCTGCTTCTGGTAGCGGGTGAAACCGGGCTTGCCGTGATTGAGGCCGCAGTCATCGAGCTTGACTGCGCGCTTCTTGAGCGCATACCCGACGACCGCCTCGTTCTCTTCGACCATGACCGAGTACGTTGAGTAGACAATGACGCCACCCAACGCGCTCTTGGCGTCGACGGCCGCGAGGATGAGCTCCTTCTGGAGGTGCGAGAGGTGAAAGACGTCCCTTTTGGTTGTCTGCGTCGTAATGGACGGCATATCTAGCGCGTCGCGGGCTAGGTCAAGAACGTCACCCTTGCCGAGGTCGAGGAAATCGTTGCCGTTGCGTTGTCGCGCATCGCAAAAAAGAACGGGTCACAACAAACCACGTTCAAGGCGTGGGGCCTTGGTTTCGTTGGTAGCTGGTAGTCCCAGCACCTGCGACGCGGCGGCTCGTAGCGAACTGCTGGCGCGCGAAGCGGACGCCAACGGGCCAATCTTACAGCAGTGAAACCTGGGAGAATGCAAGGTTTCACTTGATCATTGAATGTAATTAAACACTGGACGCGCCATTCGTGACCAAATTGATGTGAGATTGACCCGTTGGCATAAAAAGCGTGCCCTTGCAGAGAATTTCTCTCCACTGGCACGCTTTTTATGCGGTCATTTTTCTTTTGCCGACCTGCCCGACACATAGCGCACTGGGCAGACTAGGTCGAGCTCGCGGGCCCACCGGCCGTGCCCGAGAGCCGGGCGACGTGCCCGATCTGCAAGACCAAGATATCTATTCGCTGTCAAGTGGGCTGGCACGACGGTCTCACGTGCGACGCATACAAGCGCATGGTAGACCGGCGGCGACCAAGAGCAAGCCCAGCTCGTGCCGCTCAAAGAAGAGATGGGCTGGATACAGTATCCCAAGTGCTGCGTGCTTGTCGCGCGCTTCATGGGCTGCAACTTTATGCGTTGCGAGTGGTATGTGCGCTCATCATCGTCGACGCGCTTCACCTCACACGCGTCTTGATTTAGCGGCGAGCCCTTTTGCTCCGGAACCCCCTACAAGCACGGTTCCGACGCTCCATAGCCGTTCCGACCCGAACAACCCCCACAGAAAGGTCCACCATCCCGACCCTTTTTGGTCCACATCCACAGGTATAACGATGCCATGCCGCGTAGTTTGGCTGTATCTGGGCGTTGTTTCCGCCAGCCGCGCCGGTTGGCGCTGCCGCCGCCCATGAGCGCGAGCAAATGGCTCAACGTCTCTTTAAAGACAACCAAATGCCTCGCGCTTCTGTTGCCGCCGAGACCGCTGAACGCGCTACCGCAGTGCAACGCCAACGCGTGCAAAGCGTGCTCGAGCTTGACGCGCACGTCCAGCGCCAAGTGGCACAGCTCCCGCGGCACGACCTCGCCCAGGTGGCTCGCGTGGTACAAGCCCACGGTATTCCCAACGACCGGAGCGACAAGTTGCCTAAAGTGCCGCACGCCTTTCCCGACCGGCTCGCCACACCAAGAGCCATATCCAAAGCCAGCACAGGCACTTCGCTCCCATGCAGCACCGGCCCCCGCGACAAAGGCACACAAGAAGGCCTGACCCTCTTGTGTGCACTTACGATGCCCCAGCTCCTTATGCCGGCCTCGCGATGGGTAAGCCACTCGGATTGTCTGTGCATGAAGACGCATTCACGTGCAACTAGATTACATGCCACCATTGCACCCGGCCCCGCCGCCCATATCCCAGTTTGTGATTGGCGGGCAAGCCGGCAGCTCGAGGCTATCCGACTTGCCCGCCAGCCACCGCCTGTAATGCCCCCGGCGCGTTCATGTAGTGCCAGGGCACCTTGTACAAGGCCAGCCCTTGCCCCGTGTGGCCCTGCAACCAGAGCGAAGCGGTCCGCACCAGCACTCGACCAAGCTTCTCCAATGACAGCCTCTGCCGACGGCAAGGCGACCAAGTTTCGGTGAGCGGGCAAGCGGGCGATTTTGGACGTGAGTATGGACTCGCCAACAGCGCTCGCGTCAAGACTAAGACAAAGCGACAGGACACGTAGCATGCGTGGTTGCCGTCAATGTGGTGGCACGCCCCAGTGCATGTGTATAAATTTCAATTTCTTGTTTTTGTTTTGGCGGCATGGCGCGTTGGACTTGTTTCCTGTGCCGGGCCGAGTCGATGTCGCGAGTAAAGGGTCGGGCTGCAAAAAGTGCATGAGATCACCAGCTTTAGAGTGTATATATTGACTGAGGGGACTGGAGCAAGGGCAAACTACACCTTAAACTACCTCAGAGATTACCCTCGGCAACTATGCAGCATATACAGTACATCCAACCCGGCGGAATGCGGAGCGTAGTGGTGGACCTCGCACTTGATGCACTTGTCGACTAGTGGTGGACCTCGCACTTGATGCACTTGTCGACTGTGTCGGCAAAAAAGAGCGAGCTAACGCTGGTCATGTAGGGTGACTGTGCAGTCAGACGCAGTTAACCTCGAGTGTGCCCGTGTTGCAGCTGTTTGCGTCGTCGATCTTGGATGAGATTGTTGTGGACGGGGACCTCGACGCGGCGACGCGGTCGTTCATCGCGGCGGTCGCCGCCAAGCTGCTGCCGCTTCTGCAAAGCAACAGTCTCTACAGCTTCCTCTGCGCCGTGCTGCGTCACGCCAATGATGCGCATGACGCTGAAGACAATGCCAAGCGTCTGTACCTTCTCGGCGAATTCTTGCTGCTCGAACTGACCAAGACAGAGACGGTCTTGGACCGCACGGTCCGATCGCTCATCCGTGTCGTGCATCTTGAAGGCGCGGCGGTCGTCGTCGAGCTCGCGACGTTGCTCAAGGTGCACGTGTCCAAAGGTCTGAGCAGTCATGTGGTGTCGTTCCTGCAAGCGATTCTTGTCGACGTCGCTGACGACGACATGGCGCTCGAGTGTGTCTGGTACAACCTCTTCAAGCTCTACGTGGCCGACGGTGTCTACGAGAGTGCCCACTCCAGAAGCTGGTGGCGCTCGGTGCGAGTGCACCGTCGCTGGACGAGTGCGCCGGTACTTTGTCTTGCAGCTATGTGACGCTGGCCGGGTCGACATCGTCTGCGACATGAGCTGGGGTGCGTTCGAAGCGCAAGTCGAAGAGCTGCTTCTGTGGCAAGCCGCCAACACCCACGCGCACTTGTCGCGGGTGAAGTCGTCGCAGAGCGCGTCGGCCTTGTACCGTCTCCTCTACACCGACAGCTTGCAGTCGGTGTGTGCATGCGGCCCGCGCCATGAACTCGTTCTGTCTCCGCCTCGAGCTCGAGCCGTTTGCGCCGTCGATCATCCAGGTCCAGCGCGACGCACTCCTTGCGGCCTCCAACGTCTTGGAGCTTGTGTCGGAAGCGCATCGGGGGTTGTGTCGCAGGCCGGTCTCGCCTCGGACGCTGGCGACTGCGCGCTCACCGTTTTCTTGGCCTCGGATGTCCACAAGCAACTGCTCTTGGTCCGCGGCAAGCTCGCGTCGCCCGAGCACAGGCTGGCACTAGGGTCGCCCGCGGTGGTCTCGCTGCTGCCGACACACCTCGCCCCGTGCGGCTTGCGGTTGTTCGAGCTCGTCGGCGATTGCGCTGGCGCTCCGTGCAGTCGCTCGTGCCTCGGATCTTTCTTGGTTTGCTTATCCGAAAAAGATATGACGTCGTTCGGTTGTGATGCCGAGCGTGGATTGGTTAAAAAGAAGCCAATGAAAAAGGGGAGAAGTGTCGGTTTTCAAATCAACGGCAACGAGGGATGCCAACGCAAGACGAGGTAGGTCGCCGACCCTGCGACCTGCGACGATGTGGACGATAAGCGATGATGTAGATATCGCTTCACAGTGCTGCAGCATATGGTACCTTGGCTGACGTTCAATCCTATCTCAACAGAGGCGTCAACGTCAACTGCATGCACGTACGTTGGATCTCTTGAATTGAATTATTTTACATTTACCCATTGGAGTAGCATGGGTCGACACCACTGCACAAAGCTGCTTCTGAAGGTCGAGTGGACGTTGTCTGCCTCTTGCTGGAAAAAGGCGCCGATGTGAACGCGTCCAAAGCGGTATGATGTTTGTATTGACCGAAAAGTGTTCTTCGACTAGCTTGAATGGATGCGTGTGCTGTGTAGGATGGTCAAAGGCCATTGCACCAAGCTGCTTTCTATGGTCAAGTGAACGTCGCCCGCCTCTTGTATGAAAAAGGCGCCAATGTAAACGCGTCCAATGCGGTACGCTTCTGCCTTTTTAAGCTGTTTTGATGCATCTAACGACGTAGACGGGTTATACACCACTGCACTATGCCGCTGAAAGAAACAAGTCAGAAATGGTCCAACTGCTCTTGGATAGAGGCGCCAAAATCGACGCCAAAAACAAGGTAACGTTACGTACACTCCACTCCATGTCGCCGTATGATGCTGGCATGAAATGTGCTCAAGACATCTTCAATAAGCAACAATTATTTTTCTAGGATGGCAAAACACCGCTTGAGGTCGCAGAAACACGCGGTTGTGAGGATCCAGTCGCAACGCTTTTGCGTGACTATCCTCGCATGCAAGAAGAGCAGGTACTATATAGTTGAGCGAAATGACACGCTTTTCTGCCGCGTCTATACTCACTCTCCGTTATAGCTCTTTGTCGCACTGCGCGAGAAGCGCATTCCTGACGCCGTGCGCATCCTCCTCAACAACTTTCTCCACGTCAACCTCCGCGACAGCGTAAGCGTCTCAATTCAAACGATTTACCATTGATGATAGATATGACTCATATGAGTGTAGTCTGAGACGCCGCTGCTGCACTTGGTCGTGGCAACGCAAGATCTGTCACTGCTTCGATTTTTGCTTCTCAAACCTGACCTCCAAATCGATGCCAAAGACTCGGTATTTCCATATATCGACTTCTTGACCCACATTCTCACGTAATGAAATAGACGGGTCGCACGGCTCTCACAGTCGCCATTACCGCCGACAACGCCGAGTTGGTTCGGGCGCTGTACCTAGCAGGCGCAGTCGTTGATCTCGTCGACAAGGTGGGATATTGACTTCGTTTTGGTGAGAATATTGACAATGTGGTACAGAGTCTATGTGCTTCAACGCCGACCTTGGTCGCCGCTTTGCGCCAAGCAGCCTCCATCAATGACGACAGCACGGTGGATGAACTACTGCGTCTGGGCGTCAGCTGCTCGTTGGCCAACGAGGTATGTAGCATTGCGTTGGCAGGTCTCAAACATGTTGACGTCATCTAGAAAGGCGAGACAGCGTGGCATATGGCGGCTGCAAAGGGGCATATGTCCATCATCACGATGCTGCTCCAACAAGAGACCAAGGACGAGAACGGCATTGACGTGACCAACCATGTGCCCCCTCCTACACACTTCTTCTCTTGCAATATGGACTCTTGGGTTTGTCTAGGCGGGAGAGTCACCCCTTTTTGTCGCTGCTGCTGCCGGCCACGCCGACGTTGTCGAGGCCCTTGTCCTTGGCAACGCAAGCATGCATTGCGTCTCTAATGTACTGGCTGTGCATTGAATGCTCCCATCATCCTTGAGCAACCGTGGTTTTAGACTGACTCGACGCTGCTGCACGCGGCCATCCTTGGCGGCAAAACGAGCATCCTGGACCAACTCTTCTTGTTTTGCGGCGATGCCAAAGATGCTTGTGACGAGGTAGACAATATTGTCTGCCATGGATGATTGTTCAACGTATTCTCCATCTCAACTAGATGGGACAGACACCGCTGCACATCGCGGCTGCCAAGAATCTCGTTATCGCCGTAAAGTACCTCGTAAAGGCCAAGGCTAACGTCTTTGCAACGACAATAGTAATGCATCGTCCTGATAGTGGAAGCTCGGACCTGACACGATTTCGGTAGACGGGCAAAACGCCATTGATGTTAGCGACCGACCGCCGCGTCATCGCAATATTGCAACAGGCTGAAAACAAGGGCAAACTGAAGGTATTCCTCTCAAGTTGATGTGGAATAGACTGCAGGCGTGTGCGTTCTAGAAACCTCGGCTCTCGGACGCTGAGCTCGACCAGCTCGTCGACCGCATCTGCGACTCGGAGGCGATGCTAAGCAAACTCATCCAGCGGGTTTGCAACCGCCTCGACATCGGTCACGAAGCTTTGGAGGTAACGTTGCTGCATGTGACACAGCATTCCCTACGATGTAGGTCTCGGTGGATCGACCCGAGGGCACACGAGGCGCCAACGTACAAGTTATTTTGGACAATACATGTCCATGCAGACGTATATGTAATCTAGGGGCATGTACAAGCTGTCTTCGTCAACGACGCCAGCCAAGTGCTGCTGGCTGACGATAGCCATTCCAATGCCGCGAACGAGGTAACTGTTTTGCCTCGTCTCTTGAGCATCAAAGCGACGCTGGAACGGTGTAGGCGGCCGACTCTTCTCTGCACCTCGCTGTACAAACCAACGACCACAAGACGTTGATGTCGCTTTTGCGATCGCCCGGCATCAAGGTCGACGTCCGCAATGCGGTACAAAAACGAAGCGATCAACGACAAAAATAGCAATGACAATATTGTTGCTGTTCAGGCAGGCGTGACGCCGGTGATTCTGGCCATCCAGATGGGCCACCGACGCCTTGCGACGATGCTCCAGAATGCCGCACACCGTGCCATCCCTAGCGTACACATCAGATTCCTAATCGATCTTTCTCTAATATGGGCGGCTCTAGGTGCCGGCCTCGGACATTGAGCTGGATCAATCTAGTCCACTCTATGGCACCGTGTACCCGGGCACATTGAACGGTCGTGTCGTCGCCATCAAAACGTCCACCGATGAGTCTTCCGCCCAAGCAATCATCAACGAGATGGAGATAATGCAGCAGTAGATCCCTTTGGTCTTGTGGAACGATCTGAGCGGCGATGGCTGTAGGTGCAACTCGCCGTACGTACAGCTGCTCCTCGCCGTCTCGGATATCACGACATCGAGTCCCAAGCTTATTCTCGAGTACATGGACGCGGGGGATTTGCGCAGCTACCTCGACGCCAAGCGACTCGGTGAGCCCACCAAGGTCAACGTCTCACCACTGCAAGTCGCGTGGGTGATTGCAAATGCGCTCGCCGATTTACATCACAACGGCGTCTTCCACCACGACCTCGAGAGCTACAATGTCCTTCTCTCCTCGACCAACTACATTAAAGTCGCGAATCTCGGTTGCGGCCTCGAGTCGGACACAACGACGGGCAAGAGCACACCGTACTGGATAGCGCCCGAGGTACTTGCGTCGACGAGCAACTACAGCTGTGCCGCCGACATTTACTCGTTCGGTGTCATCTTGACTGAGCTGGATACGCTTCAAGTGCCGTTTCACGATGTCAAGGGCCTCGGGTACTGGGGTATCATCGACGGAGTCCGTCTCGGCAACCTCCGTCCGACGGTGAGCGCCAACTGTCCGCAGTGGCTGCGAGATCTCGCCAACGCCTGTCTGTCGTTCGACCCGACGCAGCGTCCGTCAGCACTCATTATTGTCCAGGCCCTCCAAGAGCTGCTCTGGCACATCGAGGAAGCGTTGGTGACGCCTATCAAGCGTGAGCAAACGGGCAAGCTGGCAGAGTTGAGTACGGGTAGTCCTACGGTACGCTCAGCACTTGGTATGGTCGTTGGTGGAATGACTCCTTGCCATTAGACATTCAAATCCGACGATGGCCCAGAAACTTTGATCAAGCCAGCGACGAGCGATGTGGCCAGCGACGCCAATACAGCATCGGCTGCCGTCACGCCCACAACGTTCATGACACCGGCAAAGTCAGCGGTCGGACCAACAACGCGACTTGTGAATACGTCTGACCATCGTCCTTGTAGACGACCTCGAGCGCGAAGTCTATAAGCACGCAAATCGTATGCCGGCTCTGCCATGCCTCCAACTGGCTCCTGCAGACGCATTGCCAAGGCTGCGCGGAAGAGCTCGCCCCCGTTGCGTTCAAGCTCAAGATGCTTCTCAAGCGTCTTATCGTCGCCAAGAAGAACGGATTTGAGATCGACGACGATCTTTTCTGTGACTACTGCAACACACACCAACCGATTAAGGCGACCACTTGTGACAACTGCGACGATGCGCTTCCGGACGACCACGAGAAGCTGCGCATCCTTATGCTACGCATCGAGAAAGTGACAAAGTCCAAGGCCTGATGTCCAAACTGCACGCCTACATATTCTCCTGGTATAAATCAGGAAACGAACCAATTGCATTACTTCTTCGTTGAGTGTACAACCTATGGACATCGACAGAGCAAGTCCGAACAACGCAGACCAAGACGGTTGATACCGCAGGCCAGATCATCCCCTACATAGTCTCCATCAAGAATGAATGCGAGAGACAGAAATACCGTGAAGAGATCCCCGAATGTCGAGCGCTTGGTCTCCAAGAGGCTGAGGATGGGATGTGCAAACTGACTGCAGTCGTTGACGGACATCTTTAACGAGGGCGAGTTCGGGTCGTTGGGAGGCACCAGCCGCTGCAGTGCAAGGGCGAGCGCCGGTGCGATTGTCGTCGTCTCGTCGAAGAGCAACTTTCGTTCCGACGTCGAGTGGTCTCATGTCCCACGACGGCACTAGCGGCGCGGCAGACGCGCGCGCGTGGCGGAAGAGAATGCAGCGTCGACGGTGCAGTGTAGGGGGCTACGTCGGTGTCTCCTGCTGCAAGCCTGGCCGACCACAGCTCCAGCGCCAGAAATATCTACTGCCTCGAGAAAGTCGTCCATACTGCTATTTGTGTTTTAACCGCAGACGCCATGACAAGACCTAATCCACAACAAGCGCGCGCACGCTCGTGACGAATTAGGAGATCCACAAGCTGCGGCAAGAAATTGTTCGATTCAGGCACCAGTCACATTGCGAGACAAATGTAAGAGACTTAGCAGTAGCACTGCGCAAGGCTCAACCCAGGCGAGAACACAACACGAGCTTAGCAGCGCAAAAGCATGCAAGGCAGGTGGAAAGGGGGCGTCAAATGACCAAGTGCGAGCAAAGCTCCGCCACCCAAAAACCACCTCCTGTGAGAATATATTACATGGACATCATCGATTCTTGGAGACCATCGTTGAAAATACCTGAGACGAATGCGGCGTCTCTCATGCCCCCGTCTTCAACGGTGCCGTCTTCAACGGTGCCGTCTTCAACATGCTGCCGCCTCTGGACGATGCGTCGGACCTCGGGGCCTCCTGCCTCGCCGAGTCCGCGCGTAACGGCGCCCGCGGCCAGCGTCTGGATGGTTCCGTCTTTGATCTGGGCCCTCGGCCGCCTTGCGTCATCGCGCGACGCAGGGCTCGCATGCTGCCTACACCCGGGGGCCGCCGTCGCGGCACTGGTGGTCATCGGCGGTGCGCGCGCTGTCCTGGACCAGAGTCCGACACACGCGTGCGACGATATCCTCGCGACGTGGCTACCCAAGCCACGTGCGCACCTTTCGGCGCGTCTTCCACGACGTAGACGTTTCCGTCGCCGGGCGTGCCGACGGTCCTCTCCGCTAAGGACGTCGGCATCGCTGGCCTGGCCATTCCGGAGCCAAGCCCTTTCGTTCTCGCGAGGGTACGCGGGTCTTGGGCTCATAACCTAAGAGACTTAGCAGTAGCACTGCGCAAGGCTCAACCCAGGCGAGAACACAACACGAGCTTAGCAGCGCAAAAGCATGCAAGGCAGGTGGAAAGGGGGCGTCAAATGACCAAGTGCGAGCAAAGCTCCGCCACCCAAAAACCACCTCCTGTGAGAATATATTACATGGACATCATCGATTCTTGGAGACCATCGTTGAAGATACCTGAGACGAATGCGGCGTCTCTCAAATGTAAAAGTAGTGTGGTACCTCGTGCCAGACCCGAAAGTGCGCTGCGCCGACGCCGTCAGGATCGAGGCCCATGCCAAGCTCGCGTCTGCGCCGTGGACCTTGGGCGCGCACGGCCAAAGTTGATGGCTGCCGAGGGCTATGAGCTCGACTCGTTGGCAGTTCGAGCACAGACCGGATTGCAGGCGACGTCGAGCGAGAGGTTTGCCGCGAGCAATATGTTGTCGTGGCGCTGCCAGCAGTCCCGGCTCGGTGCAGTGTACAAGCAGGAGGACGTCATGCGTAAGGTGCTCGAGCTAGAGCCATCCGAATCAGCGCCGAGAGATGGCGCGCGCTCCGAAGACGACGCGGCGTGCGAGAGAGGCCGTCGAGAAATTGGCCAGGGCTCCGCCCAAGGGCCGACTCGGTGGCTCGTCACTCATAGATAGGCTGCGCCATACCTACAGCAACGTCGCGTGAGCGCCTCGGCTTGAGGCCTGCGCACGGCTTGCCACGTACCACGTGCCTTGGCTGGCGGCGATGATCGGTTTGAGAACTCTGCAAGAACTCTGGTGATTGGCTCAGAAGTAAATTCTTGGCGCTCTGATTGGCCACAAATTGAATCTCTGTCGCTCTGATTGGCTGAAACGCATTAGCCTAGCATTGACGAAAATGAGGAGATCGACGAGGAACGCTGCTTTGCGACCGAGCGACACCCCGTGACGGCATTGAGACTATTGATAGAGTCTCCTCGAGCAGAATAGAGCAGCGTCAGTGGTGCCTGAGGAGCCTCGGCGTCGTCTTTCTGGCGTCGCCGGGTATTACTATTGGCGTTCGCCATTTACAACCATAAATATCCATATTTTGGAGAAAACAGGCCCGCCGCGCCGGCGGATCGACATAATGAAGTTTGGAAATGAAATCGCCCATACTTGCCCGAGTGCTAGACCACACTTTGGGGAGTCCAAAATGCTACCGGTATGTGACATCGCCGTGCGAGCTCTGTAGCGAGAGCAAATGACAGCGGCAAACACTAGTTTGATATAGTGTGCTTTTTCGCTATACCGAAATACTGTACGGGATACAAGGCCTCATCACGCAGCGGTATCGCGTGCACTTTGCCTCCCTCGGCCACATGGAACACACACTTTACATGATCCAAAGAGATGGCGTCCTCGGTTCCCGGGACTTCGATGCATTTTCAACCGAAATTACATGTCGTATTTCGTGAAAACCGACGCTCGGCAGTTCGAGTTTGGTGTGAGTGCCCAAGCAACGACGGCGACCAACAAACTGGTCGCACACCGGGTCAAGACCCATTGCCAACTGTGGCAGCCAGTCTTACGGTCATTGGAGCTTTGGAACTCCGCGATGTCACGTGAAGTATTTGGGCAATTCTGCCACCACCTCGAAAAATAGAAAATGGATTTGCGCATGATTGCGCTACGTGCAGCGTCGGAAACGACATTTACGTCATTCAAGAAGTGTGTGGAGAGGTATACACGGCTGCTACGTGGCGCTGGCACGTCTGTGGGCTGCTACTCGTCGATGTGCTAAATGGTGCTCACACTATTTAAGGCAGGTGAATGAAGTCTTGTGATTGGCTAGAAAGGATCAAGAATTGAGCCAATAAAACATCCTTTCCAGATCGAGTACAGCACACAAGATACTGCGTCTCGGCAACATCGGCCTTGCAGTACTTGCAAACTTCGGCCGCGAGCCACTGGATGCCGTTGGCCTCGACACTCAGCGCGGCCGCACGCAGCGAGTGCTGGATCGCTGTCGCCGTTTTGTCGTTCGGGCGGCCCGTGAAGATCGATACGTACTTGTTGACGAGCACTTGAAAAATGCGATCCATGTGGCAGTGCAGCACCGCGCCCAAGATGGACGCAATGTGCGCGATCGCTTGGACGTTGGACAAGGCCATTAACGTCGTGAGCAGGTGCGGCACAAGGTACGGAAGCACTTCGCGATATGACCATAAACACTTCCTGGAGGCCGGCAAGCGCGTGCTCCAGAACGCGATCGTCCACCAACGAGATACGCTTGACAAGGCGCGGAATGAGCTCATCGATCGAGCCTTCGGGTGGTGCGCGATCGGGAAGATTTCGTCGCGGAGACCGTGGTCCTGCACACGGGCCAAGGTTGACGAGTACCTCGTAGACAGCCTGGGCCGAAACCGACCGCTCGACCGATGACGACTCCGACACAATGGCTTACAGCAGCGACGGCACGAGATACGGGAAGAGACTCTGGCCGAGACCCTTGACGAACATTCCAAGCGCCTTGGACGCGACCGAGCGGACCTTTGGAATCGGGTCGAGCAGCTGCGTCTGGAGGCAGGGCGCGATCGTGTCGAGAAGATACGGCGCGAGGTCCTTGGCGTCGTGGACCATCGCGCACATACTGCTGGCAATAATTTTCTTCGTCTCTGAGATGCGGGCCGTCACGACGCGCTGAAGCACGGATATGTCGAATCAAGTGCTCATCAACTGCAGCATCGCACCCATCGTCTTGTTCGAGACGTGCAAACCTGCGAGCAAACTGAAGCGATCGAGGCAAATCGGGTTGCGCACGACATATGCAGTGTCAATGTGCGCAGCGTGGCGCGCCATCTTCACGTACGGGTGCGAATCCGAGAGCGACGCCGTGAGCTTGAGAATGAACTGCGGCCAATATGAGCCAATCGGATGACGCCAAGGCGCCGAGAAGCTTGATGACAGCCTGCTAGGCAGGATTGTCGACAGGGCAGAATGAGCTCGACACCGTGCACCGAGAGGTTACGCATGATGCCATTTGTCGTGCTGCTCGTGGCTTCGCCGCTAATGTCTGCAAACAACTTGAGGAGGATCGGGAGGGTCACAATCACCTACAGCTTCATGAAGTGCCTTCGCGAGCGCTTCGGCTTCTTCATGACGGACAAGGCGGTCTTGGTGGGCGTTCGGGTTAGACATCCTCATCGCTTATTTGTGGCGCGCAACGACCTGATGCTGCATGAGCGCGGCTATATCAAAGCCCTTGACAACCACCTAGACACCAAAAGAGGCACCCATGCAGCTACCAAACGTCTCACCCGTCGTCGCCTTTGTGGGCAAGTCGTAAAGAATCAAGAGACTTGCATCCTCGACCGCGAGCATGAGTGGCGACAAGCACGTCGCAATCGCGCGCTGGACGGCCTCGGACGAGATTGAGAGCGGCGCGAGACGTTGGCGCAATCGACGGTCGATGATGTCTATGTGCTTGCCGCGACCCGAGGTAAACGACGACGCCTTCGCGCTTGCGCTCGTATGTCCCGATCTCCTTGACGACGAATTCGCCGCCGCCGCTTCTTCGATCGGCGCCTTGAGGAGCGTGACCAGATAGTACGTGTACACAACCCAGTACGAGTCCATCATCCGGACACAGGCCTTGCGCAGTGGCGCCAGCGCTAGGCCACCATGTCACCTCGAGCTCCTCATCCTGGCTTTTTATCGTGGCGTGGGCAGCACAAACATGTATCTAGTCAATATCTCGGAGCCAAGTGGCGTCGAAGACGTGTGATACCTTGCGCGAGACGCGAACGCCTTGAAGAACGAGGTCCGTGCCAAGCGCCGAGGACCACGGGCGTGCGACCACTGTCGGTTACCACCCAAGGCTGGAAGCTCCGCTCGTTGGTAGCTCGGGCAGAAATTGTATCTGAGATACATCGAAACGACGCAACGAGAGCAACAAGTACCGAGGCCATGTCGAGGCCATCGTCCGCACGCCTCGCACATGCTCTCCAGGTCATCGACGTCGGCGTTTGTCTCGGCGCATCGACTGCACAACTCACAGCGGAACCGATGGCCTGAATCGAAGAATGAAGTGACGAAAGAAAGACCTCAGGAAAACAAGGCTCACCGTCCACAGTCGACAGGACGCCCGCTTGCGACCGCTCTAATAGCGTGCGACCAAGGCCCTGGAGCGCAAATAGAAGAACGAGCAGCGCTCAACGCTTCTTCAATTCTCTTGTGAAACGTTTCGCCTTTGCCGAGCGCGTTCTTACACGACTGAACGTTTGCGCGGAAACAGGACATTCTCCGAGTGCCACGTCATAGGAATCGAGTGGTTTTCACATTTTGCGACCTCTGGCCATGAGACACTAGACGGCATCAAATCGTCGTGAGTGCGAAAGAAAAGGCGCGGAACCGAGCATTGTAAGCTCTACGCATTCTACTCCAATCGCTGTACAGGATGCGACGGCTCTGGACGTCGCAAGCCTACATGTAAGACGCAATGGATCGCATTCTGGATAAAGTAAAAGGGGTAATTGTCGCTACTACAAGTGTAGAAACTACGACTACGACGATCGCGTGACTACAAGTGTAGAAGCCGAAGACCACGACGTGCCACCGTGGTTCTTTGCTTTATAACGTTTACAGAGCGCTTTGTATCTTCAAGCAAGCCCTGCGCGCGTTGTACGACTGCATCGGCAACGTAGCGTGGAGTGCTCTGCTCTCCATAGTGTCTTGTATCATAGTGCCTGCCCACTATGGGCGATTTCATTTTAAACATGATGTTGTCGACCAAGTGGCATCGGCGTCCTGGACTGGTGCCTCTAAGATGGCTCTACGATCTTATTGATAGTTTGGGCATCTTGGTTCCCGTCTCGCTACTAGCTACTACTGTATGCCTCGGACGGCGACGCGACCTCGCACTCCGTGCTCTCCACAGCGTCCTCTGTCAATGTACCACGTCTCGGTCATTTCAGTTTTAAGCGCAAAGTAGTCGTTCTGGCGACCTGGTGATGCATTGTGTGGTATGGGCGGAGAGAAATGAATGAAATAGTGCACAATAAGATGTTGGCATTGCAACTTACACGCACAACACGTCCAGCACCGCCGAGTCTTGCCAGTTGCCGGCCGCGACCTCGGCGGCCGTCGTATTGGAGCGCAGCTGGACGCGCGCAAACGCGCGGAGGTTGCGCATAGCCGTCGCAAAGAACTTGGTGTCGTCGTGGTACTGCTGTTGCGCCGCCTTGGCCATGCGCTCGCGCTCGCCGCCCGACAGTCTTAGCACGTGGTTGACGGCGTTGCAGAGATCGCCCGGTGAGTAGTCGGCTTGGAGACCGCTGACATCGCGGAGTCCGTGCTCGCCTTCCGAGCGGCCGCCCATAATCTGGTGCGGGTGGTGATGCACGACCGTCTTGGCATAAACGCCGCTTTCGGGCACAACGATGAGCTCGTTCATTGGTGGCGCATCCGTCGTGATAATGACGCCGCCGGCCGCGCGCGCCTGGTTGATGTAGTGACCGTAGCCCTCCCATCGGCTCGCACAGAGAAAGAAAGACGTCTCAGCAAGTCGCTTCCCAAACGTCTCTTCGCTAATTGCGCTGTGCTGAAAGTTGATGTTCTTGGCGGCTGCGATTCTCTCAGCGTACTTTTCGCCATATCCCATATCGTATAGACTCTGACTCATTGAGAGGTCGAGCGGCGGCAGATCCGGTCGTGCCAGCCAGCACTCAATGACCTGGTCCGTGCCCTTGCTGACGCTGCCGCCGGCCGAATGCGTGAACCGAACGTTGTTGCGGTAGTCTTTGGGCTTGATGGCGCCGGGACCGAGCTTGCGGGCAATGTGGCCCGCAATGTCGGCGGTAGTGTGCCGCGTATAGAAGACGGCGGCACCATTCGGATTGCCCTCTTGCTCGTACCACTTGGTCACGCGGCGGTAGCAGTCGCGCGACTTGCAGATGACGACGCTGGCGCTCCAGTACTGCTGCGACTTGAGTTCGCCCATCTCAATGTTGGGCATGAGGTAGATGGGCTTGTGCTTTGGCCACTCCCACGGCGGCCAGTAGTGGTTGAAGAAGATGACCGGCGTCCGCGGGCACAAGTCGAAGTACTTGACTTTGCGGTTGGTCTGCGGGTCCAAGTACTCGTCTTCCAACGCCCAGATGGGCAGCAAGCGCGATTGACCGTCTAGCAAACCATTACGAGTAGCAGAGATGAGCGCACGTACATTTGGCGTAGGCGCAGCCGTCTTCGCAGTAGCCCGAGCCGCGGAGGCCGCTCGGGAGGAACACATCATAGTCGGGGCAGCGCCGGAGCTCGTCAAGCACACGCGGGTCGTCGCGCCGCAGCCGCGTCGGGTACGGTGCCGTGGTCGCGTTCGTGCCATACTGCCAGGTAATGATGTCGTCCGACTCGGTCGTGCACGCAGCGTGCAGGAAACTGAGGTGCTCGAGGTCGTCCGTGGGAACGCGCTGCGTCTTGGGGTCGTCAAACCAGCAGGTGGCACCCGGGGTCGGCGCCCGCTGGACGAAAGTGCGATTCTTGAGGTGCAGGCCTGCCTCGGCACTGTCGGGTGCGCGGAGCAAGGTCATGCTGACGAGAACGACGACGAGAATGTATCCAGGCAAGAGAAAGCGGAGGCTCATGGAACACCACGGCGCCGGACACTTCTTGGTCATGAGCGACCACAATGGGATTTGTGATGTACTACACTTACAACGTTGTCCCAAAATAGCACCGGTTTACGAAATAATCCTTTGGTCTGGCTCCGAAAATAACGCCCAGCGAAATTCCAATTTCGTAAAACGAGCTATTGGCGCCACTATCCGGCGTATCCGGCATATCCGCATAATTTAAGCTTGCTTTTAGTATTGATATAGTGCCCCAAAGATAGTGCCTCGATTATTCTGGTTTTACGAAATTTGAGCGAAATCGGGCCACAATAGTGCACAAAAAACGGTAAAATCTCGTAATTACCATTATTTTACCGTATTTAAAAGGGCCAGATGAAGATGACCGAAGGCAATGAGCCGCTCTCTAAGGAGGGTACGTCTCGCGAATGATTCCGTAGCTGTCTTACCAAATGCCATTGTTACTAGGCTACATGTATCTCGCCAAGACAGCTATAAAACCAAGGAGAGATCCACTCCTCTTTATGATGGCCCATGCATTCCTCGTGTTTTGTAAAAAAGCAAGCTTCGTCTATGCAAAGGATCGATCATACCGGTACTTGTCCCTGGCTGCCCAGGGACTTCTTGTGCGTCCCCATGTCATGGCTTCCCGTATTTAATAAATACGTATCATGTTTAACAGGTATCAGCCATTTCGCCAGAATTTCGTAAAACGCCACCTTTATTAAATAGTTGTCGCGCTCCACGATTTGGGAAATGGTGAAAAGTGCGCTGAGAGAATCGCAGCCGCCAAGAACATCAACTTTCTGCACAGCGCGATCAGCGAAGAGACGTTTGGGAAGCGACTCGCCGAGACATCTTTCTTTCTCTGTGCGAGCCGATGGGAGGGCTATGGTCACTACTGTACATCAACACGCGGCCGGCGTTGTCATCATCACGACGGCTGCAATCGATGGCGCGAATTCTATCTGGGGAGCAGGTCTATCAAGCAGTTGTGTCGCCCAGTACATCATACATGCGTGCGACGGCGTCGATGCGTCTGAAGTGATTGCGACATATATGAGTGCGCAGAATCTACCTCGATAAGAAAGAATATCATGAATTTGATAGACGTTTATTGGTTTATCATCCGTTGCTTCACACAAAACGTGGCGTCTAGAACCAGCCGCCGCAACGAAACGGCGAAAAGAGACCGCAGCCGCCACCAAGACCCCAACCAAAGCCAACACCACCGCAGATCGACCCAAAGCACTCCTTCTGGCCGCCCTCGCGAAGGTGCTGCTGTGCCTCAGTGCTCACTTGGGCGGTGACGCCCATCGCCGGGGTGCCGACGGCAGCAGCGGCCGCAAAAGTGCTAGCGATGAGCGCGAGCGCGGTGACGACAAACTTGACCATGATGTGATGGAGACGCGGAGAAAGCAATACTGGATGCACATTCCTAGGTTGTGCTGGAGGAGGACACGCAGTCGCGATCTGTCATGGAGTCGATTTTTCCCATTTGCGACCTTACCGTGATGGGATGGGATCGTTGCCGGGTAATTTCTCTCGATGTAGGCCTCGAACGGCGAAACGACTTGGCATTTTGGACTCACCAGATTAGTCTCTATATACCTGCAAAGTATGAGCGATTTCATTTGAAATTTTCATTTCGTCATGCGAGGATGCACGCCGCGGCGGCGGCGATGGTGGATCGCGAATGGCGTCTTGTGATAGGCCATAAAGATTTTAATATCGGACCAATAAGAAGCATTTATTTCAGATCCAGTTTAAAATAGACGACCGCTCAGAGCTGAGGACTCGAGATGACGATCGTCCAGGATGCGAGAGTCACGGCGCAGCCGGTGGACACCGAGAACAGCTTCCGAGAAAGCGAGCCAAGCGCGCTACGAGCTATGGAGCTAGTGCGAGCCATGGAAAGGATGCGCAGTCGCAGACCCAGCGTCGTCGACCACGAGGCCGGTCGACAGTGCCGATCTCCCGCCATCGAGCTCGTGTCGAATGTGGGGACGGAAGGTAGTCCAGGACATATTGGATTGCGACGTTGGTGACACAAAGCTTGGCAGCGGCAATGGCGTTGTCGTTCGCACCAGCTGCAGTGCTTGGTGGTCCCACATCGGCCATGGGAGGCGGTCATTGCTGACAAGGCGCTCTTCTTGGCTATAGACAACGCATGAAGGAAGCGTTAAGCTCAATGCCGCGAGACGGCGCATATAACGACGCATACCGGGAAGTGCCATCACACATGTTTTACACATGTGATTTTGGATGACATCGATCGAATCAACGCGAGTGCGGAAGAGAAGTGATGCTCGAGCATTGTGAGCTCCAAGCCTCTCGTTCCAATTGTTCCACGGCATGCGATGGCTCAGGATGCAGAAATTTCATGAATGATGCAATGAAGCACATTCCCATCCCAGTGAGCGATCGCGAGCCTAAAAGTGTAGAAGACGAAGACCACGACGAGCCACCGTGGTTCTTTGCTTTATAACGTTTACAGAGCGCTTTGTATCTTCAATCAAGCACTGCGCGCGTTGTACGACTGCATCGGCAACGTAGCGTGGACTGCTCTGCTCTCCATAGTGTCTTCTACCATAGTGCCAAGTATGGCGATTTCATTTCAAGCATGATGTTGTCAACCAAGTGGCATCGGCGTCCTGGACTGGTGCCTCTAAGATGGCACTACGTTCTTAGTTAGGAATGTTGCATCTTGGATCGCGTCTTTGCTGGACGCCTCGGACGGCGACACGACCTCGCACTCCGTGCTCTCCATAGCGGCATGTACCAATGTGGCGAGGTAGTAAACGCAATGTGAGCGACCATGCGCCTTGGCGATGCTTTGTATGCGTCTAGAAGGCGCACCACCCACAACGGACAAGCTTTAGCTCGGAGGCCGCAGCATCGTCTTCTCGTGACCCACGCCGGATATCCGGATATTAAAGCTAACAACACGCAACTTGCCGCGGTGTTGCCTGATCGCGAGAGGTTTGATGGCCAAACTTGGTCAAAAAATCAAAAAGGCTCATACGTGGTACAATGGTAAAGCAAGCTTTGGGTACCTTGGGGCACCAAGTTGCACCATCGTACGCGGCCTACAGCACTAGAAACTCTAGTGCACAGATATGCCGAATTGTACGTTTTGCGGCATCGTAAAGGATTTAAAAATGGCATATGCCATATGTAACAACGGAAACGATGCATTCCACGATCTTTGCGATGATCAGCAACACAGCCCGAGCCTTCTTGGAGGAGCCCTGCGACCCGGTGCTTTACGACCTTCGAGCATCCATCGCACATGGCTTCACGCACCACGAAGCGACCTTCGCGGACCCGGAGCTGTCGGTCGACGGCCTCGACGAGCTCCTCACGTGGCCACTCCCAGACGCCCAAGCGCCCAAGCTCGCCGCGCTCCGCGGCTACGACGCTGCGACAACCGTCATACCCGGTGACGCGCTTGGCATCAAACCGGGCTACGCAGATCATGCGACCGCACGCACGGGGTGCTGGGTTGCGACTACCATCTCGTTGCCCATGCAGCTCGTGGCGATCGAGGCGTCCTCGTCGAAGTGCTCTTGGAGCATTTGGTCCATGTGGTAGTTCAGCAGACACATTATGTGTCATGGCTTTGACGTTGGACAAGGCAGTTGGCATCGCGACGAGGCACGGCACAAGGTACGGGAGCACCTCGCGCATGCGACGTGACCTTGAGCATGTTATGGAGTCAAGCGAGCGAGCGCTCCTGGACGAAGTCGTCAACCGTACCTCTGGCCCGTGCTCCGCGCCTGCGTCTGGTTCAACGTCTGGCGAGTCTGGAACGATCGCAACTTTCGCGCCGTCAAGGCGGCACGCGTCGCTCAACTGCACTTGCACCACAGCCTCGTACAAGAGGCCGAGCAGCCTGCTCTTCGTCGGCTTCTTCGGCTCATCGCCCAACACGAGTGGCCGCGACGTCACCTCGTCCCGCGGATTGCGCTCCTGCCTCTGCCTGCCTAAATCAAGTCCCTCAACCGAGTACACACAACGAAGAAAGTCCGCCAATTTTATTTAGCATAGTTTTATCTATTGTAATAGAGGACCCAATTCAACAACAACGAGGTCGTCAACCGACTTGATGCGCTTGAGAAGGCGCGAGAAGAGCTCATCACTCGAGCGGTCTCGCATGCTCTTGTGAAAAACGTCGAATGCACCACCGACCGCGCGTCGCAAAGAGCGTTTTCGAGCTCAACGACAGGAGCTGCGACACAATCTCCGAGGTCCTTCGTGGGTGAGCATTGGATGGATGACCTCGCGAGGCCAAGGTAGACGCCATGGCGCACGCCATGTCAGCGGGGCTCATCGGTTCGAGGCTCGCACGCAGGCAAAGGTTATGTATCCGGGATACATAACCTTTGCGCGCAGGGTGCGGACGACCCCGCGTATACCACGCTTGCCAATCGTGCGCAAGATTTCGCCGAGCGTGCGACAAAAGACGCTCTTCGTCTTGAGGATCGAGTGCGCGTCTTGGGTGTGTTAGACACGACACGCCTCGACGCCTGAGCTGAAGCGCGCGCTGGCGCACGACGGCCGCCGTATCCCAGCGCACCATATAAAGCACTGCGAGGACCGTGTTCCGGCACTGCTTGCCGAGCATCTTGAGCATCGGCACCATCGTTGTCGTCGACATTGGCCGACATGGCAACAGCCTTGGCGCCGCTGACGCGGTACAAAAAGGCGTCAAGGAGCGAGAACGAGGACTGCCGAGTGCGCATGTTGTCGTGAACAACATGAGGCGTGGGAAGAAGCTCCAGCCGAAGCCTTGGACGCGACCGTGCGGACCTCAGGAATGGGTCGAGCAGCTGCGACTGGAGGCAGAATGTGGTGGTGTCGAGGCATGGTGCGGGGTCCTTGGCGTCGTTGACCATTGCAGTCGAAGACCAAGCCGACGCCCGCGGCTGGACGTGGATGCAGCGACGGGGGGCTCGACCACGAAGACGACCAAGGCAGCGACGCGTGCATGAGCGCCAAACGCATGCCTCTTGATGCCACGAGGCTGCACACGATGGACCAACCCGAGAAAATAATAACGATATTCTTATATTCCTGTCGTTGACGCCGCCTCAGTCGCTGGCGTCTCTCGAGGACCTCAACAAACTGCGTAGCTTTGCCGCCGATCGCGACGCCTGGAAGGAATCCACGGAGCTTGTCATCATGGGCCTCACCCGCGGCCATAAACGCCCCCGCGCGACTACAGAAGAACAAGATGCACCCCCGCGCCGCCGCCTGCGCAGCCACGGCCCGGCGAGCGAATGAAGAAGAAGGAGATTGCTAGTCTCTACGTATGCGAACTCTTTGTAACAACGAAGATAACGCGAAACACGTTCAGATATATATTCTTATATCCCTTGGACCAGCTCACTGCATGATGATGATGCCTTCCGACGACCCGCAGAGCTTGCCAAGACAAAGGCGGCTGCGACAAGCAACGCCGTGTGGCTGAAGATTGGGCGGATTACATGCATCCAGCAACGCTCGTTTAGGCCACGAGCCCGAGCCGTTGCGGGCTTCTTGTATAGTACACATACGTCGTCCTTGTTAATCGTGAAATCGGATGCGTCATGTGAGCACTGTCGTCGGTACCAACATGACCGAGTGCCTATATTCAGTGCTAAGCAGCAGCCTCTTGTACGCGCCCGTCGTGCTGAGCGGTGGCGTCGGTACACTAACCAACCATCGGATTGCAGTCGTGTGCTTGTCGCCAATATGGGAGCGATGTCAATTGTAGCCAATCGGACGGCCTGCCGCTCCTATATTGGCCAATCCGAGAGCGTGACGCGATCGACAGCCCGATCCGATTTGATTTTGAGATTCGCGAGCGAAGAGAGAAGAGATGAGCCCAACGACGACGCCGGCGGCGGCGACTGCGCCGTACGACGAGACTGCGGCGACGTGCGCGGACGAAGGCGCCATGCTTGCCGCCGAAGCTGCCCACGTCGACGATGCCACCGAGGCCCGTGACGAGGCCCCGACCATGAACTCGGATGGCGTGGAGCGCATCATCCCGATGCTGGCTGCGTGGAAGGACGTTGCATCCCTCGTCCATGCTTGGCCAATAGCTTGGCGGTCTATTGCCATCGCGCAGCTCGAGGAGCTCGGCCGCGTCGAGAGCTTCCGCAACAGCTGGCCATGCGTTGAGATGCACAACCCGCCGACCGTCGTCCATCATCTCGCGGCGGAGGTTCTCCATCTCCTCCCAGCGATCCACGTGCGAGCGCCTGTCAACGCCAACCTCCTCGCAAAGAAGTTGCGCCATGACACGGACGTCGTGCTCACGGCCGACCTCGGTGACAATGATGCGACGTCGTTCGAGGACCGAAAGACGAGCTTTGTGGCCGTCGTCGACAAGTGGCACGACCACGTGACTGGCGTCATCCTTTATGCCCCGAGCCCATAAAAGCTACGTTGCTGTCTCTCACGCCCTCGCGCGGTGCACCAAGGTGGTCGGCGCAGCGTTCCGGTGCGTGCACGACCAAGCGGCCGCCGACGCTCTTGTCGCTGCGGTCACGACGACCGGCCATGTGCCGTCGACACTATGCCTTCGCCTCGACGACGTGCAGCGGCCGCGGGTTGCTTTCAACGCCGCTCGCGTTCTCCAATGGCTCCAGCAAGGCCACGCTCGGTGCCTTGAACTTTGGTGTCCCTCGGTGGTCGACGCACAAGGGCTTGCCGACGCGATCCATGGGTCGCACCACGTCACGTCTCTCTCGCTCCACATCGATGGTGCTCCTGTCGATGAAGAAGCTGTGCACTTGGCGCTCAGTCTGCGTCCCTTGCATCACTTGGCAACGATCGACGTCGGTCTCAACCGACACACGCTCTCGCTGCTGGGCCAGCTCGACCCAGCGACGCTCTCGTCGCTACGTATCGTCAGCACCAACGTTGACAGCGGGTTTTTCGACCTCAGTGACGCCCTTGTCCGCTTCTCGTCACTGCAGCACGTGGTCGTTCGCCGCGGCATGTTTCACTCGTTTGGCACGGGCACATGCACGCACTTGCGCTCGGCCGACTTGACGTTCGACGTTCCAAACGAGACTGTCATGCCGGAGCTCTCGCAGTGGCTCGCAACGTCGACGGCGTTGACGCAGCTCACACTCGTATTTGATCGTATGAGAGGGTGCAACCGCACCGCCTTGGGTGCCATCGCGCGCGTGCTGCCGCAGCTCGTGGCCCGCGGCCTCGAGCATCTCACGCTCTATACCAACTTGATCACGGTCGACGATGCGACCAAGCTCGGGATCGCGCTCGCCAAGACGTACTCGCATCAGCCGCTGCACGTGAGCTTTCCTGGGTTGCGCTTCTACAACGACGCCTCGTGGATTCGCATCCTTTTGGCCGCCCTCGGCTCGTGCTTCAACGTCAAGCTCAGCTTTCACCAAGATTTCTTCTCGCAGGTCGACCCTGAGATCGACGCGCTCGTCGCTCAGCACGGTCTCATCCGACCGACGGTCCAAGACTCGACCGACCTGGTTCATTTTAAGTCGCCACGCCTGCCACAAGCTCGCGCCATCACGATCGACGCTTCACGCGGGTCGTTCGTTACGGGCGTCAACGTCAACGCGGCCGCGGTGGCTTTGTCCGAACTCTGCGGCGCCCTCGCTTCCTGCTCGAACGTGCAGATGGCTGCACTCACGCATCTTCTGGACCAAGAATCGGCGGATGCGTGCCTCGCTGCGATGGCGGCGCATCGGTTGCATGTGCTGGAGGTATCGACCGACGGCCGTTTCGTTGAGCCGTTCGACACGGTGCAGATCGGGTCATGGCTTATGGAGCCTGACGCCTCAGGCTTGCGTCTCGAGGTTGATTCGGTGGTCGATGCGCCAGCGTTGGCGGTGGCCATTTGCACGGCTCCTGCGCTCACGTCGCTCTCGCTTTCGATGCGCGACGACAGTGTCCAAGCGGCGCTCGCTGCGTCCAGCATGTCGCTGCACCGGCTGACACATCTTCATCTCGATGCGACGATCAGCACGGTGGGGCTCCTCGGCAAGCTGACGCCGCGCAGCGTCACGTCGCTGCGCCTTACCGAGCACGAAGAACACCTTTCGGTCGACGTAGGTCCTGCGATCTCTCGCTTCTCGGCCCTGGAGTACCTCGAGGTGTCGAACTGCGTTCTGAGCGGCGAGAGCTTTATTGATGCAACGTGTCACCGTCTGCGCTCCGCAATCATCTCGGTCCGCGGCGACGGCGCACCGCAGCAGCTCGTGCAATGGTTGGCGACATCCAAGTTCTTGAAGCAGCTCGAGCTCCGTTGGGACAAGAACGTCCAAACGGACGCGTACTTGAACGCGGTGGCAGGTGTGCTGCCGCTACTTATGGAACGGGGCCTCCAGCAGCTCACGCTCGCACCACCCTGCGAGAGCTCTGAGGACGGCTTTCGCGCGGCCACAGACGCTGTGGCATATGCGCTAACGACTGGCTGCAACAGCCGCCCGCTTGTCGTGGATCTGTCGTCGGGTCCGTTCGGCAAGTCTGCGCGAACGACGCTCTTGACGGCGCTTGCTGCGTGCTCAAACGTGATGATACGCTTCGAGAGGTACCTGGCGCCGGCGGCCAAAGCGGCGATGGACGAGACAGCAGCGCAGCTGGGCCTGCGCAACTTGGGTTTTCTCTCGTTTAAATCGCCCCAGTGAGCGACGTCGAAGCGAGCAACCACGTCATGCACGTTGATTTCTTTTGCATCAACCCAAAGTGTAGACTTGGGCGCAGTTGGGTAAGTACCATCACACCATTGCCATCACAAACGTTTTACACATGTGTTAATGGATGGCATCGAATCACCGGGAGTGCGGAAGAGAAGTGATGCCCGAGCATTGTGCGCTCCAAGCCTCTCGTTCCAATTGGCTTACGACATGCGATGGCTCAGGATGCAGGAGTTCCATGAATGATGCAATCAATATAATTCCCATTCCAAATGAGCGATCGCGTGGCAACAATT